TTCCATAGACTGGGTAATTTATAATAAAAGGTAATTTATCACAGTTCTGGAGGCTGAGAAGTCCAAGATCAAGGTGCTGCTAGTAGGTTTGGTGTCTGAAGAGGGTCTGCTTTTTGCTTTCAAGATGATGCCTTGGAGACTGCCCCCTCTGGAGGGGAGGAACATGGCAGAAGAGAACAAACCCACTTCTGCAAGTCCTATTATTGCTGAATTCACAAGAGTAGAACCTGTATGACCTACACATCCCATTAAGTACACCCTCCCAGCCCTGTTGTATTGGGAATTAAGTTTCCAACACATCTATTTTGGGGGCCATATTCAGACCATGACGTTCTTTCTATAAGTAGGGGAAAATCTCAGATCCACACAGTTTTGACAGTTTTGGCTGACAGACCCATGATTTTATGATGTTAAAATAATTAATTTGGAAGCTATTAGACTGAAGTGGCTTTGGTACCCTGAGCTCCTATATAAAACAAACTGAAACCCAAATCAGGGTAAAGGGTTATAGGCTATGGAAAACAAAGCTTAACCAATCAGAAACTACCATTTAAGCTCTAAGTAGAGACTTTACGTACCAGAAACTGCCAATTAATCTCTAAAGGGTGTTTAAGGCTACTGTTCCACTTTACTCAATCAAATTCTTTGCCTTGGTTCCATGAACACATTATAAAAGTTTTCCCTTGTGCCACTTTGGTGGAGTCCCAGACTGCCTGCTGTCTGGAGCCTCTGGATGCATGATTCACTGTCTAGTCAAATAAACCCTTTAAAATTTTAAACATGCTTAAGTTTATCTTTTAATACTGGAAAGAATGAAGGCCCCAGTGGGGTGGGTTAGGAGATATGAGAAGACTGCCTGGGATTTAATAGTGAATGCTTTCATCCAATGGTGGGAAAGGAAGATAGGAGTAGGGCACCCCACCATCTCACCTGTTAATGAATATTTAGAGCCTAAGCATAAGGATAGGATTAAGTTTTTTGGTCTTCTGGATGTATACCTAGTAGAGGAATTATAGGATCAAATGGCAGATCTATTTTTAGTTCTCTAAGTGTTCTCCAGATGACTTTCCAAAAGGGACATATTAGTTTGCAATCCTACAGCAGTGCAGAAGTGTTCCCTTGTCTCCACAACCATGCCAGCATCTGTGATTTTGGGATTTTGTGATATGGGCTAATCTTACTGGTGTCAGATGATATCTCAAAGTAGTTTTGATTTGCATTTCTCTGATGATTAAGGTTCATTGCAGCCCAATTCATAATTGCTAGGTCTTGGAAGAAGCCCAAGTGCCCATTGACCCATGAATGGATCAATAAATTGTGGTATATGTACACCATGGAATACTATGCAGCTTTAAAGAAAGATGGAGACTTTACCTCCTTCATGTTTACATGGATGGAGCTGGAGAATATTCTTCTTAGCAAAGTATCTCAAGAATGGAAGAAAAAGTATCCAATGTACTCAACCCTATTATGAAACTAATTTATAGCTTTCATAGGAAAGCTATAACCCAATTTTAGCCCAAGAATACGGGGAAATGGGAGGGGGAGAGGCTGAGTGGAGGGAGGGCAATTGGTGGGATCATGTCTATGGTTTATCCTATGGGGGTACATGTGAGTCTTTCTAAATGTAGAATATAAATGTCTTAACACAATAACTAAAAAAATGACATGAAGGCTATGTTAACCAGATGGATGAAAGTATTTCAAACTATACAGAAACAACACACTGTACCCCATGATAGGATTAATGTACCCAGCTATGATTTAATTAAAAAAAAAAGGATAGGATTAAGACAAGCTACCCAATTGGTGTCTTGGTTGCTGCTCACTCACCTCAGGATGGGAGGAAGATGTCACTATGCCAATGAGGCAGCATTCCCCAGGGCCCTAGGTGAGATTAAATTTGGCTGTGGCTGATGAGATAAGGGGTCCTCAAAGCTAAAACAAATGGTGTCAGCAATGAAAAACTAAAACTTTGACTAGATTGAAAATAAAAGTTTGTTGGGGCTGTGTCAGGCAGCTAATCAAAACCAAAATTACAGTCCTACATCACTTAATGATGGAGATATCTTCTGAGAAATCCATTGGTAGGCAATTGCATCATGCAAACATCACAGAGTGTACCTACATAAGCCCAGATGGTTTAGCCTACTACACTCCTCAGCTGTATGGTATAGCCTATTGGTTCTAGGCTACACACCTGTACAGCATGTTATTGTACTGAATGTCATGGCAAATACTAACATAATGTTATTTGTGTATCTAAACATAGAAAAGTTACAGTAAAATACAGCATTATAATTTTATGAAATCATCCTTTTATGAAGTCCTTAGTTAACCAAAACCATATTAGCAGTGCATTACTATAAATTGAAAGCCCTTAGCTACTTTAAAGAAAAAGACAAGTATGAAAGCATGATGGGGGACTTTGGGGAAGAAAGTGACTCAATATAGGTGTCCAAGTCATTCTATCTAGTCCCACAAAAAAAGCAGATACTGGGGGCACAGGGTGGCCAAAAGCACTAAGAACTTCAGGGCAACAAGGAGCTACAGCGATATATGGGGGGCAAAAAGAAAGACCCTGGGAGTCTAGGTGCTCTCCAGATACTGGGAATTACTTAGGAAAGAAGCTGGTACTGATGTGAGGAGCTTAAACATTGAAAAAGACCACACTGGCTGCCTCCCTCACATACTGCTCTTTCCTGAATTCCTAGCCAAAGAAATAACATAATTTCTTGGCAGTTACAGTCCCTGATTTTCTAGTGTTAAGCTTCTTGGTCCATGTTTCTACAGGGAGAACATTCACTAAAGTCAACTGAGGGGACTGGAGTAAAAATTGCAGTAAAGAGTGAGCCTTTGTGAGTGGGGTCCTATGGGCCAATTCAATATGCTAGTGTCATAATTGATACCCAAGTGTTTAATGCTTACAGTGCAAATGCTCAAAAAGTGCCAGAGAAGATTCTTCCCATTCAGGGTATCGTGGCACAAAGAGAAATGAGGTAAACTCCCTACCATCTGCTGTCAGTGAGCAAGCTGGTATTTAGTGTGCTTCTATTCTGATGCCTGGAGTTTTAACTATACATACATGGGCTCACCCTTGAGAAACATGGGTTTGATGTTATACATGTGTCCACTTACATACGATTTTTTTTCCACTTCTGCCACCCAAGACAGCAAGACAAGCCATCTTCTTGCTCCTTCTGCTGATGCTACTCAGTGTGAAGATGATCTGAATGAAGACCTTTCTGATGATCCACTGTCACTTAATTAAAAGCAAATATATTTTCTTTTCCTTATGATTTTCTTAATATTTTTCTCTAGCTTACTTTATTGTAAGTATACAGTATACAATAGATATAACATAAAAATGTGTTAATTGACTATGATACTGGTAAGGCATCTGGTTAACAGGCTATTAGTATAATAGTTAAGTTTTGGGGGAGTCAGTGGTTATATGAGGATTTTTGTCTGTGTAGGGGTCAGTGCCCCCAACTTCTGCCATTGTTTAAGGGTCAACCATAATGTTCTGGAGTTTGAAATCAAAATCCACTTCCAATGACCCTGACTGTGGTGTTGTCATGCCTATCTACCAGTAGGATTGGCTAGTAAACCCAGACAAAATTCAGGGCACTGTTTCCCAACAAAGTTTCTTGAGACTCAATCCCTCTGGAAATGAAACAAACAATGCTATCTCTTTGGTCCCACTATTAAAATTCTCCTTTTTAGTGTACAACATATTAGTAAGAGTCTATTTATACTGGAGGCAGAACATGAACCATCAATGGCATCTCCCACATGTAAACATGAAGAAACACAAGGATCAGAACAGCTTTGTTTCTGACAGATCATATACTTCCTTTGATATTAGAGTGGCCTTAGATTATACCATGTATGGCAATTGAGGCTGCAACTATTCGGTGATAGCACTTATGTGACTCAATCAAATCTAATATATAATGGTGATTCTTATCAGGTTAGACATCAAATCTGAACTAGAGTAACCTGGATCCTCTGAGGTTATGTGCTTGTATGTGAGGAAAAAATGGACTATGGAAAGCTTTCCCATAGAGTACAGGGTTTTCTTTTTGGCCCAGCTCTTGCGCCCTTAATTATTGACCTTGATACCATAGATCAGCAAGTCAAAGTTCTCTTGCATGGATCATAACGAGTAATATATTGGTCTCTGACCACATTCTGGCTGCCTAACAAAAAGACTTCCTGATCCCCACTTGGAACTTATAGCTATCTGAATTTAAGACCTTGAGGGACAGAATTGAGGGACAGGATTGATAAAGTCAATTACTGCAGACTGACTTTATCCTGCTGTTCAGTGTCTGTTTATAATAGCCTTAATTTTTATGTAAGACCAATGGATTTGGTATTGACTAAACAACCTGGTTGCCAGATTAATCAGAGCAGCTAATAAGAGTTGCACATTCATGTGAAAATTCAAGTTTGACCAAGAACATGACAGGCTGAGAAGTAGATTGTTGGAAGAGATGATCCACTATGGGCTCTCAGTGTCCCTGCATACTTATGTAGTATGCCAAGAATGCAAGAACTTGATTGATCTTTACCTAGTCTATTTTCCAGGCTTGTGTTTACACTAAGCAGTCTTTAAGTCGGAGGTTCCCCTTGGGCAAAGGAGCAGAATTGTTTCTGCTTACTATAAAAGCAGTGACTATACTAAGCTTAGTGTTCCTTTCCTACAAAAGGATCCATGTGTGCAGGCTCTCATCATTGGCCCTCTGTGCTCCTATAGGACCTAGAGAAATAAATAACTGAATAAAACCAACATGAAGGTCTAGCTACAGCTTTTGCTATGAATAATAAAAGTCCTTTGTCTTAGACCTAGGTGTCTTGTGTATTCTGTACCATCTTATGGAACAGTAACAGGCTAACTTGTTAGCTATAAATAGGGTAAAATCTCAGGTCCTGCACAGTTACTGACAGACATCAATTATTTTCTTCTTAGTAACAGCTGGCATTTGAGGCACTATGATTTGGCTATTAGTCAATTTATTATTACCATAATCTATTACAAGAGATTATTTTCCAAAGACTAAGCCAGTAACACTACAAAAATAAAAAGCCCTCTGATGCCCGTGAGTTTATCTGTGTGTGTCCAAGTCCAGTAATGATTTCACTATCTGTCTGAAGTACTAATAGTACTAAATCCAGCGCTCGGCGCCATGCCTCAATCTTTGGTGTAACAATGTCATAAACTCTTGGAATGTGCTCCAGTTTATCTGAAATGCCTGAATTAAAAATTCCACTATTTATTTTATGATATTCATTCAAGATGTAAGATGAAGGAGAGCCAGACTCTGTAGCCTTTTGTAGATGATGTTGAATGAATGTGCTGGCTTCAAATTCTGATGAATAGTTGGCAGTGTTATATATGAGAGTTGAAAGGTATTTTTGCCATCCATTTGCCAAGAATTTAAGCACAGTTGGTCTGTATATCTCCAGAGATGAAGCCAGCCAAGATGAGGTATTACGAAGCCACACCGAAGAGGCATGGTTTGTTTTTTTCAGAGATTGCTCCACAAGAATTTGAAGATGACTAAGACACAAAAATTCAACTGCACCACCTCCGAGAAAGACCTTTTCCTCTTTTAGGGCATAATACAAACGATAGGCACAACTCCAGAACCTATCTTCTTTGGTTTGCATTTGTGCAGTGACTGGGTTAGTAAGGACTGCTGTAACCAAATCAATTCCTTCTGTTTTTAACAAGATTGCTATTCTGTCATTCCTATCTACAACATCTAAGGGATTGCTTTTCCAGAAGGTCACATGGACCCCATTGCCCACACAGTCTTCATTCACTTGTGTAATGTAGACCACCTGTACTGCTCCTGTAGCTTCTGCAAAAGCCTGCATCACAGTGCCATTCACTGACCCAATTATCAACCGCTTACTGTGTATGCATTTTTCAACTAAGCATTCAGAAACATTCCCTTGTACCAGGACAAGGTTCACATTGAACTGGATTAATACCTGTAACACACTATTTGTCCACAGTTCTTCTGAGCTGTCTTCTTGAAGCTTCATGCTATCAAATACAGTTTTAATATTTGAAGACTTATTAAATCCCAGGTGGCGATAATTCTCTGTGAGGTCACCCTCAATAAGAACTAGCCGGACAGGCTGATTCTGCAATTCCTTGATCAGATTAGTACTAGATACTGATACAGCAGTGACATATCCTGGACAAATACAAGAAAAACTTTCAGGTAAACCTGGTAGACAGCAAGTGAAGATCTTTGAAATGTCAAACATAAATGGCGCTGGAGAATTAACTTGTTTCATATGTGCATTCCGATATTGCACCTGTACTGCTTCTTCTACTAATTTCATGTTGCTGAGGTCTCCATGACTCAAGCCTACTGCCAATTCTACCAAATCATTACATCTGTAACTTCTGGGATTAGCTGCACCATGTTCTAGAAATCCATCTAGTTTGCTTATCTGTTCATTACTGTCTGGTCTTTTAAAGTGCCTACTGTGGTTCAGTACTGACTTTCTGCAGCAAGTATCTGCAAACAGACTGTTTTTCAGAGTTTGTGATGTGTTTTTATCCACTTCAACCTTAGTCTGAGGTTTGAAGAAGTTAAGTGATTTAACAGGTCCCCCAGAAAGATTGGTCAAAGATTGAGAGGCAACATCTTTGAGATCAAGCTCTTCCTGTTGCAAACCGGTATCTGAAGAGACTTGTAGGAAAGGACACAAAGTGACACTACATGTTTCAAGTCCAGAAAATGTGTTGTCCATATGATCAAATATATTGTGGATAGGTACTTGAAGGGAAACTACCTCTTCACTACAAAAGTTCAAGCCTTCGGACATTACTGACACTATTATGGAAATGGGGACATCCAGATGAAGACATTCTTCAACTGCACTGCACCACGCACCAACAAGAAACAACAGAGTACTGGTTCCAGTTCTGTATGTGTTATTTTGTGCTTGAACTGCTTCATTGAGAAGTTGTCCCACTGCACTGGTTAAATCCAAGTTTTCAAGAAGCCTTACTGTTGAACTGATTAACACACTTTCGTGACTTTCTTCATCTATAATAAATTTGGATGATTTTACTGGACCTATTAAACTTCTTCCTATTTCTGCAAATGATGAAAGTTGTTGAAGTCCTATGTGCCTTCTTTTGTTTATGATTCTATAAGCCATCACCAGGAATCATCAGCTGCAAATAAAATAAAAACTTGGAATTTTATTCAGTGTAATTCATGGTTATAAATTCTAGAAATAGGCTCGGCACCTATAGCTCAAGTGGCTAAGGCTCCATCCACATACACCAGAGCTGGCAGGTTCGAATCCACCCTGGCCCACCAAACAACAATGACAACTACAACCAAAAAATAGCTGGGCATTGTGGTGGGTGCCTGTAGTCCCAGCTACTTGGGATGCTGAGGGAAGAGAATCACTTAAGCCTAGGAGTTGGAGGTTGCTGTGAGCTGTCATGTCATGGCATTCTACCTAGAGTGACAGCTTGAGGTTCTGTCTCAAAAAAAAAAAAAAAAAGAAAGTTCTAGAAATAAAGAAAAATAAGATATGGTCCTTACCTTTGAAGTCTATATAATTTCCATTAAATGTGGTCAGTGCAATGATACAGTTTTATAATAATATTAAATAATATTAACAATAAAGGTATATGGGCATGAACAAGAAGCACTCCAGTAATAAGTGAAGGCAATAGGCAAGGTTTCAGGAGGGAATTCCTGGAATGAGTCTTGGAAAATAACTAGAAAGAGTTAGAAAGTTGAAAGAGGTGGTAATAAATGTACACATGTGCACGCCAGGCTGTATAATTAAGTTCACAAACTTGCCACTGTATGCTTATGTAGGCAGCACTTTATAAAAAGCTCAGTAAGGTTTCAAGACCTTGGTATATTGGTGTCTCACAGCTGTTTTTGTGTTGCTGTCATAAGAATGTCAGAGCAAAGAACAAACATTAAATTTCTTGTTAAACTTGACAAGAGTAGAAGTGAAATCAGAGATATGTTAGTCCAAGTTCATGGCGATAATGCCATGCAGAAAACAGCAGTGTAAAAATGGATTATATGTTTTTCTGAGGGAAGAGAAAGCATCACTGATGAAGAGAGGTCAGGGTGGCCAGTAACAAGGAAAACTGATGAAAACATTGTAAAAATTTGTCAAATTGTGTGTCAAAATTGTTGGCTAAATGTGAGAAGCATAGCAGACCAAGTAAACATTGATAGAGAAACAGGAAAATCATAACTGAAAATCTTTTTTTTTTTTTTTAATTGATAACTGAAAATCTTGGCATGAGAAAAGTGTAAAAAAAAGGAGCTCACTGATGAACAAAAGAAAAGAAGAAACAAAGTTTGCCAAGACCTTTAGGAGAGGCAAGACCATGTTCTGGGCTGTTTATCACTGGGATGAGCATGGGTATACAAATATAACCCTGAAACAAAGCATCAAAATGCACGATGGAAATCAGCCAATTTTCCACAACCAAAAGTTCTATCAGTCCAAATGAAAAGTCAAAACAATATTGCTAGCTTGTTTTGATATGCGAGAGATTAGTCATTATTTGTACCAATAGTTAACCAAGTTTACTATTTGGAAGTGATGAAAAGGCTGCATGAAAAAGTTAGATGAAAATGACCTGAACTTTTCACCAACAACTAACTCATGGCTCTTATATCACAACAGTGCAATAGCTCACACGGCACTCACTGTCTGTGAGGGAATTTTTAGCCAGTAAACAAACAACTACATTGGAACACTCTCCCTACTCACCTGATCTGGCCCCCAGTAACTTTTTTCTTTACTTGAAGACAAAGAAAATATTGAAAGGAAGATGTTTTGATGACATTCAGGACCTCGAGGATAACATGATACAGCTTTGATGGCCATTCCAGATAGAGAGTTCCAAAATTGCTTTGAAAGGTGGACTAAGCACTGGTGTTGGTGCATAGCTTCCCAAGGGGAGGACTTCTAAGGTGACCATAGTAATATTCAGCAACGAGGTATATAGCACTTCTTCTAGGATGAGTGCACAAACATAATTGTCAGACCTCATATATGTGAAAAAACAGTGTCCTTGGGATAACACAAGTAGTTTGGTTTTATGGAAAAAAATATGTACTGGATAATAGGAAGATAAGGAAAAAGGTTGGATCATAAAGGGCATTATGTACCATGCCAATGAGCTTAAACTTGATCCTATAATGGGAACAACCAAAGTAGGGGAGATTAAAAACATCTTGAGTGTGGCACATAACCACAAGAGGAATTATACCTAACAAAATCAAATATTTTGACCTAGTTGTTTGTACCCTCACATTAACCTGATATAAGTTTACTTTTCAATTAAAAAAAAGAGATTCTCTCCAGTAAAAATGAGAACACTGAAAAAAATAAAAATAAAAAAAATCTTGATGTAGTATTTGAAAGAGGTACTCCTGAAGAGGTATTACCTCCACACTGTCCTTTCCTACGTCTTTCACTCTCACCTCCTCTCCATAATGAGAGGAACCCACTTCCAGCTCTCTTTGGAAGTGCTGTAAACTTTCCCTTTGTTCTTAAATAAAATTTATCTTTGTTACACTGAAAAAAAAAAAAAAAAAAGAAAGGTACTCCTGAATCTTGAAGTCTAGGCTTGACCTTAGTTAGCTCTATTGCTTACTATCTGTGTAGCCTTCAGCAAGTTACTTACCTATTTTGCCCTTTAGTTTCCACATCTGAAAAGTGGGGATAATAAAAGAAGCTATTTCTTTCTTTCTTTCTTTCTTTTTTTTTTT